TGCAACTACAACTACAACCACAGCTACAACTACAACTACAACTGCAACTACAAGTGGAATCCCTGCTACAACTAAAACTACAACTGCAACTGCAACTACAACTGCAACTGCAACGACAACTACAACGACAACTACAAGTACAACTACAACTACAACTGCAACTACAACTACACCACCACCACAAAACAAACGAACAAATAAACAAACAGACAAACAAACAACAAACACCAAACAACAAACAACAACCTCCAAACAACACACAACAAACAACAGCAACCACCAAACAACAAACAACAAACACAAACATACCAACAACCAACAACGAACAACAAAACAAAAACAAACAACAAACACTGAAATACCAACAACCAACAACAGTAGTGCATGGGCACACGCGCGGCTTGGGGGGGGGGGTGTCGGCCATTTTTGGGCGGTCGCTTTCGAGCCTCACGCGTATGCGAGGCAAGTTATTTCAAGGCACATGTGTTTATCTCAATCGATTTTAGACGCTCGCTTCAAACCCTATCTCAAGTTATCTTGTTTCATCTCAATACAGGTTATCTCAAACGTTCACCCTAAACTCTACCTCAAAGCATCTCTCCCAAACCCAACAAGCCATTGAACCCTTGCCGACGAGGTTTGAAGGGTGGGCTCGTTTGAGGTTTCCGAGGCCCCAAGAAATTTTAAACGAGCCCGCCCAGTTGTTCCACGTCACAAAGTGTATCAAAGTATCCCAAATTATCTCAAATTCTCTCAAATTAACGCAAATTATCGCAAATTATCTCAACACTCACCCAGACTCTATCTCAAATTATCTCAAATTATGTCAAATTATCTCAAAACACTAACCCAGACTCTATCTCAAATTATTTCAAAAAATCTCAAATTATTTGAAAACACCCACCCAGACTCTATCTCAAATTATCTCAAATTCTCTCAAATTATCTCAAAACACTCACCCAGACTCTATCTCAAATTATCTCAAATTATCTCAAATTATCTCAAAACACTCACCCAGACTCTATCTCAAATTATCTCAAATTATCTCAAATTATCCCAAATTATCCAAAATTATCTCAAATAATCTCAAATTATCTCAAAACACTCACCTCAGACTCTATCTCAAATTATCTCAAATGATCTCAAATTATCTCAAATTATCTCAAATTATCTCAAATTATCTCAAAACACTCACCCCAGATTCTATCTCAAATTATCTCAAATTATCTCAAATTGTCTCAAATTATCTAAATTATCTCAAATTATCTCAAAGTATCTCAAATTATCTCAAATTATCTCAAATTATGTCAAAGTATCTCAAATTATCTCAAATTATCTCAAATTATCTCAAATATGCATGTGACATGAAGTGAGTTGAGATATTTTGAGATGGCTTTCCCGAAAAGTGGCGTGAACAAGCTGAAAGTTGTGAGACTCTTTGAGGTAAATTTGTTAAAAAGTGGCGGGGGCATACCAAGAATGAGTTGAGACTTTTTGGACACTCGGATATAACTTTGTTAAGCAGCTTTGGGCCCACACAGTCAACAAGCTCAGCACGTTGAGGCACTTTGAGATAAACTCGCCAAAAAGTTTTTAATTTTGAGGGAATCTTGATGGCATGTTTAGGGATTTCAGGGAATTGTGCGGGAATCTTGCCGGAAGTTCAAAGGAAAATTGAGGTGATTTTGAGAGGATGTTGAAGGATTTGTGTGGGAATTGCGCGGCAATTATGAAGGACATTTGCAGGAATGCTGAGGTGTTTGCTTGTATGTTGATGGGATGTTGATGGGGCTTTGATGGAATTTTGATGGAATGTTGTTGGGATTGTGAGGGAAGTGTACTGGATTCTTGAGGGGAACGCGCTGGGATTTTGAAGGAAATGTGATTGAGGTGAACGTGGAGGGAATTTTGATGGGATTTCGAAAAAGACCTCGCGGTGATTTTTGATGGAATTCCGAGGGAATTGTTGAGGGAATTGTTGAGGGAGTTCTGAGGGAATGGTGAGGGAATTGTGAAGGAATTTTGAGGGAATGGGGAGGGCAATTTCGGAGCCTGTTCGTCAATGATTGATATTGACAAAGGGTATCACTGCAAGCCATGATCGGGCCCGTTCATCTTCTGGAAAAATCAACAACTTAAGGTGGCGCAAGCAGAACAATTGGGTCTAACTGTTGCTAATGCGAACGCACAAGGGTAAACAACAAACACAACACACACACACACACGCGCACGACTAACACAACAAACACAACACACGCAACAAACACAGCGTACACAATAAACGAAACAACAGCAACAACAGCAACAACAACAACAACATCACCACCACCACCACCGCCAACAACAACAACAGCAGCAGCAGCAGCAGCAGCAGCAGCAGCAACAGCAACAGCAACAGCAACAAACAACAAACAACAAACAACAAACAACAAACAACACCCAGCAAACAACTAACAACACACAAAAACAACAACTACTACCACTACTACAACAACTGCAACTACAACAACAAGTGCAACAACAACTACAACTGCAACTACAACTACAGTTACAAATGCAACTACAAGAAACGACACCTAACTACAACTGCAACTGCAACTACAACAATAACTACAACTACAACTACAACTGCAACTACAACTACAACTGCAAGTGGGAATCCAACTACGACCGCAACTACAACTACAACCATCACTACAACTACAACTACAACTGCAACTGAAGCTACAACTACACCACCGCCACAAACAACAACAAAACAAACAAACAAACAAACAAAACAAACAAACAAAACAAAACAAACAAACAAACAAACATACAAACATACATACAAGCAAACAAACAAACAAACAAACAAACAAACAAACAAACAAACAAACAAACACAAACACGAACACAAACAAACAACAAACAGCAAACACAAAACAACAAACAACAAACAACAAACAACAACCTACAAACAAACAACAACAAACACCAAACAACAAACAACAAACACTAACATACCAACAACCAACAACGAGCAACAAAAAGACAACACCCACACCCACACACCAGGCCCTTCTCAAACAACATACCTTTACCAACGGATTTGGGGGCCTCATCGTGCATTTTTGGTAGAATTATGGGATTCATTGTTGTCATCATGATTTTAGTGCTTGCCATGCCCGACATTTTTTTGATGTTGCTTTTTCATTTCTTGCAGTTTGTGGCATTAGTTTGTTGATTTTGTTGTTTTTGCATTTCGTGCACGTTGTTTGCATAAATTGTTGTGTTCGCATGCTGTTTTGCACTTTTGTGTGTGTTGTTTTTTGCTTTTTTGCATGTTTTGCATTTTTGCATTTTGTTGCATTTTGTTGCATTTGTCTACATTTTTTGCAGGATGTTGCATTTTTTGGCACGTTTTTTGCACTTTTTTGCACTTTTTTGCATGTTTTTGCATGTGTTGCATGTTTTGGCATATTTTTGCACTTTTTTTGCATTTTTTTGCACATTAGATGCAAAATCAGATAATTTGAGAATAATTTGAGGTAAGGTCTAAACCCCATGGATCTGGGACCCCTAATATAATCAATGAATGATGGAGACTGTGCCGTAAAGATTGGCATCAAGTCCATCCATGCTGCCTTCAATCTCATGAGAAGGATTTCGAATTTTGATGTAAAAATGAGGAACTCTTGGTTCTGCCTTCTGTGGTTGAAGAAACTGAGGAGTCTGTACAGATACACGTTGGTCGCACCTTTCAAAAAGAAGGTCATTTTGGAGGACGGCCTTGTACATGTAAGCATCTCCAGTGAGTCTGCTCTTAAGCAATAGACCTCGCTTGGCTGCTTCTACTGTGGTGATGGTCACCCAGTCGTCCACGAGTTCTTCATACCTGAACAAGCTGACTTTTCCGTCGTACGATGGCGGCTGCTTGGCCGTCATCGATAAATTTAGTGTTTCCTCCGTATAGCTCGGCTTTGCCGAACTTGTATGGGCTTCCGTGAAGCCTTCTCCATCTGATGACATCTTCCTCTGGATCTCTGCGGAAAACCTGCTCCGCTACCACGAATTGAGGCCCCAGGTGCTTATCCCCGAAGGGAACTGGAGCCCTGTGGTAGTTGAGGTCGTTGTTGGTCCCTGGATCTATTCCGGAGAGAGTCCAATATGCCAGTAATGGATGATTGGAGGATGGATTGTCCCTGGTGGATTGTCTTGTGGATAATCCTGCAAGCGGCCTGCAATGGCTCTTTTGTCTTCACGCTCGGATGGTCGTGATTATGCAAAAGGGGCCCTTGAGCCAAATGTTGCGGGAGATCAATGGTCTGAAAAACAGAACACAGGGGGTTGCGGCTTCTTAATGGACAGCTCGCGCCGTGGGCTGATGAAAGGGATTTGATTTCTGATTTGCTTCGAGAATCCGTGCGTGTAGTCCACGAGGCAGCCACCACCAGCTGCAATGACCAGCCAGCGCCCCTCGAAGCCCTGGCGATTCAGTCGATTGAGTCGGTTCAGGATACCGGATACCTGTCTGGGTTCTGCGCTCTGAAGTCCCCCAGGCGCCTGAGATTGCCAGTCAGCAGCCTTTTCTTTTCTCAGCGTTCCTGCGTGAGCCGAGCTGCCCTACACTTTACCACCTTGCCTTCAGAACAGAAAAGAAGCAAAAGCAACGTTTGCGGCCGTGATTGACTCAAGGCTTGCCACAATGTCCTCGAAGCTTGACAGCGTGCAGGGCAACAGACATGGCGACTGAACCAAACCCTTCTGGAGGCTCTACTTGCCTGACTCACCGATGCCTCATGGCCGCCCAAAACCTATGTGAGTGGACACTCTTCATCGAAAATGCCTTGAGCTTTGCAGTTGATTGTGGGCTGTAGCTGGCAATCTGCCTGTGTCTCACAGTCGCGCCTCTTCGCACGAGCCCAACGAGCGATTGCCATGAGAAGGTACTCAACCGTTCTCATACGGTTTGCTCGGGCGCACTAACTCGGCGACTGCCTGGACTTAAGCTCAGCGGCCACAAGGACCACACTCAGCGCCAGGAGCAGGTTTCCTCGGCCTCGGCTTGCGCTTGCGGCCGGGTGACGCAGAGGCAACAGAGAGACTGGTCTTGGCCATATTGTTTCAGCACACGCGGGAGTCTTAGGAGGGCGGCACTGACATCCTAGGATGCAGAATTTGGAGCGGTCATCTGCTCCGGCAAAGGCTGCCACCTGAAGCACGGCATTAGCAGCGGGCCCATTGGGCCCATGGCAAGCGTTGTATTGTGATCCGGCGAGACAGGGCGCCGTGGAAGTGCAGCTACTTGACTGGGCTGGGCTAACTCAGCTAGCTGCAAAGAAGGTGAAGACCACGTTCAGGCCATGCAGCGCCTGTCCGAAAGTGCTGGCCTCACCCCTTCACCCCTGCTGACTCGAGGGCATGGCCGTCTTTAAGGCACCGCCAATGTGCGACAACGAGGAGTTCGTCAAATTCTTCTCCAGCCTCACGAATTCCCAATGCGAGAAGCCACCGCTGGGCTCACGAGGCGCCAGCCCGGCCAAGATCGCGATGAGCAGCACTTTGCGCCAGTGGAGGGCTAGGCGATGGCCTAGAAGAAGGCTCAAGAGCGGAAACTCGGCCGTGGCCGGGGACATGGGGGCTCAGTTTACGCCTTCTGCCGACTTCTGCCCGAACCGGATGAAGGCCCAAAAGGACCCTCTTGCTGATCGGGATCAACCTCTGGCGTCGCTTGTTTGGGCAACCTTCAGCGACAAACACCACATGCTAGCCAGCAAACAAAACCCAAGACTTTACTGATTCCGGCAATGTCTGCTGCCTCATTTCTCAATGAAACAAACAATCAATGGTACTCCCTCATAAAGACTTTTGAGGCCTTGCAAACGGTCAGAACTACCAATCAAACGCGGCAAAACTAGCACCGAGACAAGCAAAGGGAATGTGCGAGACGTTGGTACATTTGATCAAGAGCGCCCTGCACTGAAAGTTCAATGTTTAACTACCGACGCAATACTTTTCGCAATGATATGTCTGCAATGACCTGTCGGCTGCTTTGCGCAAACTTTGCCAGCGTGAAGTCGGCAGTCTTGTGTATATGTGAGCCTTCTACTTGGATCCAACACCCTATACTTTCTATCTAAACGAACCCCTTCTGACAATTCATCTACGAAGGCTTGCCGTGCCTTGGCCCCAACTTGCGAGCAACTTTAAGCCAGAATGGCCATTGGCTTGGCTGTGGCCCGGGCAGCCACCTATGGCTGCAAATGGTGCAACCAGCGGCCAGCCTGCAGCACCCCCTCAAGACATGCCGGGGAGTTCGAGCCCCGCCTATCACCAAGTTGGCGAACACCGACCTTGGCGATCGGCGGCTCCGATGGAATGCTGTGGCCCCTGAAGGGCAAGCGCAAAGCACGGCAACGCTTCCTGCAGGCCAGCTGCAGCATGTTTCGATGGCTGGATTGCTTTATGGCAGCAGCCTCGGTACTGACATGCGCAGCCCATCTTTTAAACGCTTGCAGCTGAGCGGCCGTGAAGACCGCGCAGGCATACCACGCCAAAGTAACCTTGACGCAAGTCATGGCCCTTGCCTCTGCATGTCCCTGCTGGGCTCCACACCACCAGCCAGTTGCCCCAAAGCCTCGGGCATGGCTCCAAGTTGCCGTCCTCTCCGCCCACCCCGAACTCGGGGCTGAAGCAGCTGCACCGGGGCGAAAACGCCTGGCCAACCTGATCACGCGCCTCTGTTGCATGCAGGCCCCATGCACGCATGTTCTACACATGGTGCACACATGGTGCAACCATTTTGCCGGCATTCTGTGCATGAACTCGGAGCTCGCCGGACACAACCCCTCCTCCGCGCATGTCTGCGCGCGGGGATTCCCGGCTAAGGGTCATAGCTCGGCATGGCGCAGGCGCAAGGCCCACGGCACGACTGGACGCTTCAATTTGCTTGGCTTCCGCCTTTTGGCACATCCGAGCCAATCTGATGCATCGTGGCCAATTTGCATGCCGGACCAGAAGTTCACAAGGCCTTGAGCCGGAACTGGCCACTAGATTCTGTTGGCAAGGGTCCTGGGTCTTGGAAGCTCAAGCTTCAACATGAGGCTGCAACTGGCAAGTTTTTACCCACAGCCTCTCATGGATGTGGGATCCTCGCATTGGAGCACTCTCCATGGACCTCACGTCCTTTGCACATCCAATGCTTATAGTCTGGTCAAATCCTGGCCCATCCGGATCTTGGGATGTTCGCGGACCTTCCTCTCAGTTTCGAGCGCCTATGGGCAAGCTGCGGATGCCTAACTCACCGCCTCAAATGCAAATGCAAGGTGACTCGCAGGCCCCCGGACATCCGAATGCGAGCAAATGTTGCAAAATGAAGCCATGGCAGCCATGGCGCCAAAATCAGACTCCGGCTTGGGTAAAGCGCAGCGGTTGCACTGATCCCGATGCGCGAAGTTGACGTTCCTGCAGCCCGGGCATTCCCAGTTGCCGTCTTCGCCTGCGAGCTCCATGCCCAGAACGCCAAGACTGCCACATGCCACGCCGCGCGCTGCAAGCAGAAAGTGACCAGGTCTCCCAAAGCCTTGCCTGCCACTGGAGCTTTCCGCTTCCGGCCGCCTCGCCAAAGAAAACAAAGGCAAATTGACACGCAAACAGGCTAGCTGACTAGCCTAGCCGCTCACCAAAACACTTCAACACACTTGCAACATGGAAACTGCAAATGGGATGTCAAGGGCAACAAACAGTAAGTCCGGCCCATGCTACGGCCCACAGTACGCTCCCAGCTCCTGCATCGTCAGGTTTCGACGCTTGGCATCGGTTACAATGTGTCCGAATGCCATAATTCACCTTGGCTGCCCGGTGTCAGTTGTGTCTTAGCCGCAGGCTGGGTTCAGACATGGCAAATCTCCTAAGGTCCTAAGGGCTGGCCGGCTGACATCCTGCCGTGCTGTTCAGGGGCATTCTGGCAGGCTTGGCATAGCCAGTTTCCGTCTACGCCGGCAATGGGAGCGCCTCGCCTTGCCTCCCGAAGCAAAAGAAGCGAAAGAAGCGAAAGAAGCGAAAGAAGCGAAAGAAAAGCCAAAGGCCAAGCGCTGCCCAAACCAAGCCTCAGAGGCTCCAAGCGCTCCTAGCGCTCCAAGCGGCTCGCGGGGTGCGCTGCAGCGATTGCATTGAATCCGAGAGGGGAAGTTCATGTTGCCACACGTGGCACCTCAGTTCCGGCCGGTTCCGGCCCATTTGCCTCCAAGCAGACCAAGCAGACTGGGGTCTCCACATGGCCAGTTCCCGTTCCCGTGCCCACGCCCATGCCTGGCATGCAACTTTGCTTGCGGCCCGTTTGCCAGCACTCGCAAGCCCCGCCTAACCAACTGAGGCTTCGGGGACTCACAAAGAATACATTGCATGCATTTGTCCAGGTTCACGTTGTTGCACAAGCTGCAGACCCATTTGTCCGCAATTGCAACTGCTGGCCTTGCAACTGGTTCTCGCGTGGCAAATGGCCTTGCTACCTTGCAAACATTGCACGCGTCTCTGTAAGCAAAGTTGACGTTGCCACAAGCCACACACGCCCAATTGCCATCCACACCAGCAATAGGTGCTTTCGAACTTGGCCTGGTAGGCTGTGTCTTGGGCGACTGGCACACCTTGCACACGTCGCGGTGGGGAAAGTTGACATTGTTGCATGCAGCGCATGCCCAGTTGCCACCTACGCCAGCAACCGGCGCTCTTGAGCTTGTTCTGGCTGGCTGCGTTTTGGGTGACTTGCACATGTTGCATGTGTCTCTGTTCGCAAAGTTGACGTTGTTGCAGGCTAAGCAAGCCCAATTGCCATCCACACCAGCAACGGGCGCTCTTGTGCTTGTCCTGGTTGGCTGCATTTTAGGTGACCGGCACATGTTGCATGTGTCTCTGTAAGCAAAGTTGACGTTGCCGCAAGCCACACACGCCCAATTGCCATCCACACCGGCAATAGGTGCTTTCGAACTTGGCCTTGTAGGCTGTGTCTTGGGCGACTGGCACACGTTGCACACGTCGCGGTGGGGAAAGTTGACATTGTTGCATGCAGCGCATGCCCAGTTGCCACCTACGCCAGCAACCGGCGCTCTTGAGCTTGTTCTGGCTGGCTGCGTTTTGGGTGACTTGCACATGTTGCATGTGTCTCTGTTCGCAAAGTTGACGTTGTTGCAGGCTAAGCAAGCCCAATTGCCATCCACACCAGCAACAGGTGCACCTCTCCTTCTTTTGGCCAGTGTTTCTCCAGTGCCTTCATTTGCATCTGGGCCATCTGGGGGCTGTCTGGGATTTCCGCAGCCTCAGGACCATCCAAGGCGAAAAAGACCGCTGCTAAGAGGCAACAAGCGCTTTGAGCGACTTGAGCTTTGCTCGCTGAGGTGCCATCGCACAAGTCTTGCTCTGCCAAGTTCTCGGAGCTGCACCTCGGGACTTGAATGCGTTGCCTGGGCCTGCCATGTTCGTACGGGCAACCTGAGGCAACGGCCCTACACACGTCCAGGTGTCGCCCAACATTGCGCAAAGCTTCAGATACTGACAGCTTGTGCCTCAGCCTTCCCTAATTTGCGCTCATGTCCCGAGCTCGCGCCTCCTTACTTCACGGCCGGCAAGAAAGCATCAAGTCACGCTCAAGGCTCAGCACTGTTTTGTGCATTGTCTTTCTCGGTGTCTCGTTAATTACTATGTGCACAAGCTTCAAGCTTCGCATTTGTAGCCTGCGGCTTCGAAACAGGCCACGCACCACGGAAGGGCTGAGGGGAAAATTTGTTAGCCCTCCGCCATGCCATGCTAGGTCTCAGGCGAGTTCTGTATGCAAAAGCGGTCAAATGGGTCAATTGGAGCCGATTCGGGACTCGCATCTGTGCAATCTACTCCGGCTTCTGCGCAATGATTTGCCAACTGGTGGTGAACAGCCCCATCTTGTCAGCCTCAACAAAGGCCTCGCCATCCTTCGTAAGCCGATCAAAGAGGGTCAGGAAGTGGGACGGCAATAATCGCACTGCCGTCAGGGCTTTCAAGCCATAGCGTGCTGAAGTGAAGTATGACTCCGCCTTCTCAATCAAGGGGTACTGATGCCCGCCAACGCTCGCCTCTTCATTCATCAGGATCTTGAAGCCTGCCTTCTCCAAGGGATCGGTGAAGTCTGAGGGCTTTGGCGTCCAAACGGCGCCAAGCACTGGTTTCACCTTCCGCAGCAGATCGTCATGCTTCGGGTCAGACGGGTTGAAGGCTGGCAGCTGCACATAGTCCAAGAAGGACAGCTTGGCGCCGGGCTTCAGCACCCGGAACATCTCCTTGAACAGCTTCTCGGGGTCGATCGCGTACGTGAGGACTTGCACCTGGTACAGGGCATCAAAGGTGGCATCCGCAAAGGGCAACGGATCGTTGTAGTTGCCATGCACAAATGTCAGTCGCTTGTCCATGCCGGTCACGTTGGCATGCTCTTTGGCCATCTCCAACTGAGTCCGGTCGATGTTCAGGCCCGTCACATCAGCCCCTGAGTAGCTTGCCATGTGGTGGGCCACCCGGCCACGCCCGCACCCAACATCAAGGACTTTGGAGCCTGGACCGATGTTCAGTCGGTCTGCCATCCCTCTCTCTTCCCATAGCAGCTGATTCTTGAAGATGCCCACGCTTGGATCTATCACTGGCGGAATGTACATCTTCTCCACATCACCAACTGCGCACAGGTGGTTCAGGACCTTGTAGTAGTTCACGGTGCTCTGTGCCTCGTTGTTGCCTCCAGTCACCTGCTCTTGACTGAAGAGCTTGTAGGAGTCCAGGAAATCCGTGACATCCTGTTCGGGCAAGGTGTAGATAGCTCGGAGGGCTTTGAGGGCTGTTGACACCCGATACCACGCCAATTCCCGATCTACGCCCAGGCCGTTCAGAGCGAGAACGGCCACCACCGGCGATAGCAGCAAGAGGGACCGCGCCATGCACAGTAGCCGAAATCGGAGCACTGCCGCCCACTTGAGCAAAAGCTGCCATGCAACGCAATCGAAAGGATATGCAAAACCGTGGTGCATATGCAGGGGCGAGTGTGTGTGTGTGTGTGGGTGCGCGCGTGTGTGCGTGTGTGCGTGTGTGCGTGTGCGTGTGCGCGTGTGCGCGTGTGTGCGTGTGTGCGTGTGCGTGTGCGTGTGTGCGTGTGTGCGTGTGGCGTGTGTGCGTGTGTGCGTGTGTGCGTGTGTGCGTGTGTGCGTGTGTGCGTGTGTGCGTGTGTGCGTGTGTGCGTGTGTGCGTGTGTGCGCGCGCGCGTGCGCGCGTGTGTGCGTGTGTGTGCGTGCGTGCGTGCGTGCGTGCGTGCGTGCGTGCGTGCGTGCGTGCGTGCGTGCGTGCG